AGCACTTAATAAAGGTTTGTTGACTTCTTGAATGATAAAGTCAAAAAGCCAGATTGCAAGAGGTTTGGAAGACAGTGAAAGGAGAAGTGGAGAAACTGAGTGTAGTTAGCTTTCTCAAAGAGTTTAACGGAGAAAGGGAGAAAACATGTAGGGCTGTAGCTGGCAGGAATAGTTAGATCAAGTGAAATCCAACACTGCACATCCCAGAGGAGAGATATTCAAACACTCAAATGGACCTGTGATCTCATTCATTTAGTTGTTTCTACCAATGAAGCATACTGCAACCTATCCATGCTTGGCCATCTGGTGTGACTGTTGGCTATGGCCTCCCCGACTCCCATAAATTTGCTGGAAGCCTTTCCCATTTTCTCTTGACACCACAGAGATAGCTGTGGGGCCTTGGGCTATTATCCCTCACCCTTTCCAGATGATCAGCTGTGATGATAGGCTATGGCTAGGCTTGCCACATTACCAATGTTTGAGCAGATAGATAGAATTTGAAAGGGAGATCGTGGGGTAGTCCCTGGGTTGTGACACAGCTGGAAATTCAAGCCACAAGAAAAGTAGAGATTTAATGGACAATAGGCCTTGCCTTACAGTTAGGTAGAATACAAACATTTCTTTGATTTAAGTACACTATATTGGAAGGCTTTATGTACCAGTGACCCAGCACTTAGCAGGCACCCCAGAATCGGAAAGCTCCTAGCATAGGGGGTTCAGGCCCTCCTCAGACCTGGCAGGTTCCTCACCCTGTATAAAAATCACTATGAGAGTATATCCCAAAAGGTAAAATGGGAGCCATAGGAGACCTGGTGCTCACCACAACCAGAATTATCCTTGTGTCTGACAATTGCATCCTTGCATACTTGATAATCTTTATGTCAGGTCATTCATTTGTGCCAGGGTATAGGTTCTTGGAAACCATCTGTGTGGGCAAGGTCATCAGCCCTGGGAAAAAAGAGTTTGTTTGGGTTATAAAGTTCCTAAACAATGAAACTGGCAGTTTGTGTATAATATAGAAATGATTCCTAATGATGGGTCTTTATACCAGAACAAATTTAAACTTGAGAAGAAAAGAAAAACAAGTAAAAGATGTTAAGTGAAATCTCTTGTATATGTTCGAGTCCTGGTAAACTTTTTTTGCTCATTGTAACTCCATGAAAGGAAAAATAATTGTATCTAACCCTAAGCTGTGATTAGTGAAATTTGCTGTTTGAGGTAAAAGCTTGTGGGACTGTAACTGATTTTTTTTTGAGGTCTGATTTCAGGTATGGTTATCTGATGGATCATTAAGTCAGTAATCCACCATTCAAGAGAAATGTCACAAACTACTCAGAGGGAATGTGATCCTGAGCTGTTATAGGTGGTTTGTATCTGAGAGAAAGCTGAGAGGACAATCTTGGCATTAGCCTAAGGTAGGATCCTCCTGACTCTGTTTCCCCATTGTGTTCCTTTGAATAGGAATGTTTCCCACCTGCCTATTCCTGAATCTGGCTATGAGATGGAATTGTTACTGTATGGTTGGCTGTCAAACTGTGACTCATACTGGAAATCAAACAGAGCTAAAGATCCTTTATAGATCCTTTATCCAGTTGTATATGTGTTGAGTTGTCAAGGACCAGTTTGATGCTGTTATAATCACGTCCCTGCTTTTTCCTTTCAAAGTGGATTTCTATAATCTAAGCAAATGGTCAGTAGAAGACATGGGTACAATGCAAGTAAATAAGTTCTTGCTATTTTCAATCTGAATGTGTAGTCATTCCATATCCCAAACAACTACGTAAATTAGCACTTGGGCTTGTTATCTGCCTGCTAATGTTTGTGCCTGTAAGATTAAATCCCTGAAATAGCTTGTCCTTTCTGAATAATATAGAAATTAGACAAAGATAAAGGTTGTGAAACAAAGATGCAAGCATGGTGTTATATCATTATCTCATTGACTAAGCCTGGGATACATCTGAGCTACCATAATGGTGTGTAAGATCTGAGCTATTCAACCTAGAATTAAGTCCTTTCTATATCCTAAACAACTTTTACTGAGTTAGGCTTAGTTATCTGCCCGTTGTGTGTGTGTATGTATATGTATGTGTGTATGTATATTCATACAATGTGTGTGTGTATATATGTGTATATATATATATATGTATATATATGTATATCTATCTATATGAAATAAGGTCCTTCAATGTTTCAAAGTGATGTACGAATGATTGGGTATTGATACTACTGGTTGTGAGACCTAGCTGTTATTCTATTAATTATTGAAACTAAGTTAGAAACATCTTCAGTTGGGATTGGTAGGAGAATTTTAGTGTAGTCAGTTTCTTAGAGAGATGTAACTCATGGAATATGTGTTACATTAGTGGAAAAGTCAATTTCATTCAAGTTTATGACTAATATGGAAATAACACTTGTTTGTACTATGTGTTCTGTAGTACAAACATATTTAATTATAAACAACTTATTTCACATGCACTGTTTTGGAATTAATTACTTGAGTATCCTCCCAAGTCCTCTTATTATAACTGGAGTAAAGTCAGCCTCTTATAAGTAAATTCCTTTGTGTAACCATTGAACCTAAGGGGTGAAAAGTTTCTACCTGCAAGAGTGTTGTTACTTATGTTTTCACATATAGGATTGAATCTTTAATAGTGTCTGATCCTCCTAAAGGAATTGGAATTAGAAAAGGAAAATCTGAGAAGCTGTGCCAACTTGTATTGAGATCTGTTTTGTAAAAGATTTTTTAGCAGAAACAGCTGAGGAATCTCTCCAAGTAACTTGGAACCAGAAAAACAATTCTACTGAAGAGTTGCCTTTGAGGAGAAGGCATTTTCCAGATTGCCCCAAGAAAAGATGTTCCAGAAACCAGACAACTATATAGGACATCTGAATTCCAAGATGAAATTTGATGATTAAATGGATATTGGGAGTGGGTTGATGATTATTATTGTACTGCTTTTTGTTGTTGTTTTTCTTTATTTCACTATATCTGAGTACTGAGTTCACTCAGTTGGCTTGATGTGATAGAAACTTTCCTGGGTTCAAATCTGGTCTCAGACACTTACTAGCTGTATGACCCTGGACAAGTCATTTAGCCGTGTTTGCCTCAGTTTCCTTAACTGTAAAATGAGCTGGAGAAGGAAATGGCAAACTATTCCAGCATCTTTACCAAGAAAACCCCAAATGGGGTCATGACCAGCTGGATATGACTGAAATGACTGAACCACTTCCTGACTCAAAATCTTGAATTCTATCCACTAAGCTATTATTTCTTTAAAAATTTTTACTACTTTCTTTTGTTTTTACATTACCTTCATTTCCCAGGCTATCCCTCTCATTTCCCTTAGAGAGCCATCCCTTATAACAGAGAATAAAAATGAAATTTTAAAAGTTTTGAAATACTAACCAGCCCATTAACTAATAAGCCTGACTGTTTTCAGCATCCATAGTTTCTACCTCTCCAAAGAAAGGTGGGTGGCCCATTTTCTTATCTCTTTTTCTGGGCCAAGCTGGGTTATTAATAATTAATGTTCAGTTTTGATTTCTTTTGTCTGGATTTTCTATTTGCATAGTTGTAGTCATTGCATATGCTGTTTCCTGGTTCTATTTATTTCACTTTGCATCAGTTCATATCTTTTCATCCTTCTTTGAATTCCTTGTATTATTTCTTATGTTAATAGCCCATTACATTCATCTATCATAATTTGTTTGGCAACTCCCTAATTGATGAACATCTTTGGTTCTAGTTTTCTGCTATTACACAAAGGGCTACTAAAAATATACTGAAACCTTTCTACTTTGTACTTCTTTAAGTGTATGCCTAATAGTGGGATCACTAGGTCTGAAGGTGACATGAAGGACTGTACCTTCTCCAACTTCTTGCAGGAATTCTATTATTTTAATTTTCCTACTTAAGATAAAAGGCAGAAAATAGAAAAGTTCTAGCAGCCTTATTACTATCTTGTGGTAACTTTAAGTTTACAAAGTACCAAAAACTTACTACGTTTATATTTCTCTACAAAACAAACTCTAATCTGGCATTCTACCATCAGAACTTTATTATTCTTAAAAACTGAAAGTAGCATTCAATTTTTTTGCATATTTGCAAATTGAATATTTGCAATATTTGCAAATATGAAATCTGGGGGAAAATGGTACAGAGTAAAATAGATTACAAATCCTTCTTATATTTCCTGATGTGGTAGATCTGAATTTCAAAATGGCATGCCCTACCATAATTCCTACTTCTGAAATACATAGATACCATTTCTAAACAGCACAGGATTTAAAAATCTTTGCAAAGCATTTTGACAACAGGTATTATTTTAGAGAAGAAGAAACCAAGTCACAGAGGTTAATTGACTTGCCTAACTAAAGTAAAACGGTAAATAACAGCTGTGACTGGAATTGGTCTCCAGATTCCCCCTTGTGTTTCCCTGAGACTACATTTAACATTTTTCTGGCTCCAAACAGCAAATACCTTTCAATTTTCATACCTCCTGACTTTAAAAATCTTAGCTCTTCAACATCCACTAAAATTCAAACAAGCTCTGAAATAAAATAAATCAAAAAGTACAAGTACAGGGCTGGTGATGGGGAAATTATGGCATTTCTCTCCATTTAATGTTTCAAGGCATGTTTCATCAATATGGGCTAATTTTGAATTACTTCGGGCTGGAAATGTGATTTCTAACAATGAATTCAATTTTAGCAAAATTCCATGACAACAAAACTTAGGTGTCCGTTAGTGCTTGTTTATAATGGCTTACATGCATATACTAAATGGAGAAAACAGGGTTATATAACAAAGCCTGAAGAAGCACAAGTTTTCCATTATGGCTCTGCCGGCTATTCAAGGGGGCAAGTTGCTTGGTCTTTCTCTGCCTTGTTTCCTTAGTTGTAGTAACTTATACCAACGGACACATATCAATTAGAACATATGTTAAAAATCACTGGTTTTGGTCACAAAGTAAGTAAATTTCAGATTCAGATATTAAGACTTAAAATTCAATGAATGAAGTTATCTTTTATTTTACTTAAATATGTAAATATGAATATAAGAATTTTTCTTACTACTTAGTAAAAAAACAAAACCCCACAAATAGGATCAAGTCATGATGAAAAATGAATATAGATACACTGAGTACTTAAGTTTGGGGAGCAGCTTAGTCATACGTAGCCAAAACTGTCCAAACGGCATAGGTTAGGTTATGGAAGGGCACAATGCGCAAACTGTTTCCAACTCTGTAAACTATCTGCAAGTATAAATCATAAAATACCTTTCTACCACACTTTAATTAGGTTCTAAATGACAGCTTTTTGGCATCAGGGAATAAAGGCAAATAGATTTATTCAGGAACCGAGACAGGCCAAACTGAATCTGTCCCCAAAGTGTTATACAAAAGCAAAAATCTTCAAATGTATCAAAAAGCAGCCTTGCTCCTGCTGGTGGTGATACTGAAGAGCTGCTATTATTTCCAGAAGCGGTAAAATCCCAGTGCTATTGCCAGGCAAGTAAAAACAGATGCTGTAATAAAAACAAAAAAACCCCAAATTATTACTACATTATGTACAGCACTCATGGCCACTTTTGCAAGTGTGTACCAAAAACAATTTTATCCTATATCGAAATGGGAAGCAAAAACCTAAGAAGTCAACAAAGCTAGCCTTCTAGTCCATGTTCCACATACTTGTTTGAGTAGCATTAAGGACCATGTGGATGAAGTGCAGGCCTGACAATGGTCCGCATATGACAATTTACAGACTTTTCAGCTCTAGTCATTTAGATTGTAGGTATGTTACAAAAAATATATAATTGACAGGGAAACAACATTTTAAAGAACAAGATTATACAATTATACATTGTGGCAGATTAAAAGAAAACTGTTGTATGGCTAGTAGAACAGAAGCCAAGATAAGTTGAGAGGAGAAAATTTGATTTGCCTTTAAAATGGAATTTACAGATGAAATTTATTCTATTTTAATGGACAGGAAATATCTAATTACTGATGTGGGCATCACTGCCGAATCAATCAACTACCTATATAGCCAGACCACTGACTTGTTAAAAAAAAAACCAAAAGACAAAAGTTAATACAAAGCTAATACAAAGCTAGAAGAATAAAAGACGAGACAGAGATATAGCATACAATTAAACCAACTCAAACCTGACCTATTTAGACAAATTATTATTGCTGAAACATGGTATATGGATGGAAGAAAGCTCATCAGCACAATTAAAGTAATGTCTAACTGATGTAAATCAATTGCTATACACAGGAGACCAAAAAAGCCTAAAAACACCTTAGTCAGCAAACACCTGACTTCCTTGTCAAATAGAGAGATATGGTAAGCAAGATGAATCCTATTTAATTATATAAATTTATCTGTATGACAGCAAAAGATTGAGAGGATTAATGTGTCCTAAGAGTGAGGCAGTGGAGGAAAAACACAGTCTTCAGAAAACCTGGTTAAGAGACCTATTAAATAAAGTCATTCTTAAGGTCATTTAAGGATGAACCTGAAAGTATAACACAGAACTCAAGAGATTGTAAAGAATTTTATGACAAACTCTTTTCATCATAAATCTTTCTATTATAAAACTTCCAATGGAAAAGTACATAGTGAGTGTAAGCTAGCTGCAACACATTAAAAACAAATAACTTATATTGAGAATTATATGTCGAGAATTCCATATAAAAAACCTAGGAGTAAAAAATGTGGGCTAGTCACATGGCAAAGTGTGTGGGATGATCAATGGGTCCCAAAGCACAATGGGAAGATCCTTTGTAGTGAACTTAAGGAAGAAAATGGCAAAGAAATGTGCCAGGTGGGCAGCCTGGATTGGTTGTGATCTCTGCTGACAAGAGGTCCTTAGATCAATGAGATCATAGACCTATTCTGAGTATCCTGTGTTATACAAGTGAAGAAGGCTGCAAACTACCAAATGAGATGAAGTGTAATGAATAATGTTGGTCCCAGATGTCAAAACTTTGAGACCTGGGTGAAAAGTTGCAGAGTCCTATTTAGGCTGGATGTAACAAAAAACCTCCTAACAATTAGAGCTGTCCAAAACTGGACTTGGCTACTTCAGGGGGTCATGTGATTCCCCATCATCAGAAGCTGCCAAGCAGTGGATGACCCCTGTCATCAACTTGTTGAAAAGATTTGTGTTTGAGCACAGGTTGGAAAAGATGACTTCTGAGGTACAGGAAAGCACTTTGAAACATATAAAATGTTATGCAAATGTAAGGTATATTAACATCTTATTTAGGGTAGTTGTTTTTGATAGTTATTTCTATTACGATTTGTACTGAAATACACAGTTCCTTTCCTTGTTAAACAGAGGATATAAAATCTAACTTGGCTTCTTGGTAATGCATAGTTACCATTGTTATAATACGGAGCAGTTAGTGTTACCGGAATTTTCTATCTCCTTCACCATTAGCTCTCACATCTGAGGGCCCTCAAGAATGCCTGCTCTGAACACTCCTCCCACCTCCCCTTTAATTTGCTATTTCTCATCCTCTAGGCTCAGTGACATTCTAAGAACTCTTCTTCAGAATTAAGTAGATGGAGGGCAGTTAGGTGGCACAGTGGATAAAGCACCAGCCCTGGAGTCAGGAGGACCCGAGTTCAAATCCAGCTTCAGACACAGAACACTCACTAGCTGTATGACTCTGGGCAAGTCACGTAACCCCAATTGCCTCACATATAAAAAAAAATTCACAGAATTAAGTAGATGAGCTTTTAGAGTTTATGCTTTTTAAAAGATAATTTAGGGCTGTGTTCAGAAGGAGTGAAGTTGCTAAGGTATGCCCTCCAAATAAGTAAGTAGAAAGAATTACTGTTTAATTATTGGCACCAATCCTAGGAACTCCTGGTCTTACTAAATTCAAAAGACTCATCCATAACAACTCTCCTTCAGAGTACCTGAGGGAAGGGAAAGGGAAGGGAGTGGAAGGTATTACCAAGAGATTATGTTATCCTTTAACTGTAATAGTCTTTTAAAAAAGCATGTCAATCTGAGGGATGACAACATTTGGATGGTGAGGAAAGAGAAGAGTCCTTGATACTGCTTCAAACAAATCTTCCTAGGCAAAATGAAAGGAGAAAATAGCAAAAGGTGCCCAAAGAAAATATGTAAAGTGTGGAAGAATTATATACATGTAATTCACAAATGTTTATCAATGATTCAAGCTTCTCAAATTTAGACAAGTAAAATATTTCAGAGTCAATGCCAAGGAGTGATCTTCTAAAGTAAAGCTGTCACCTTTAGTCTACACATAGAAATTTAATTAAAAGAAAAATGGTACCTAACTCTACAACCCAAGAGCTAGAGCCTGGTGGCAAGCTGAGGGAAAACAGCTCACTCTTACAAGGGATTGTCACACAATCCAAACACCAAATCACCCCAAAATGTCAAAAACTTATACTACTCCACAGATGTAGAGTTCTGTTCTTATACAAAAATATTCTTGTTCAGAACTCAAGTACAGTACTCTAACATGCATATTCTAGTGGCATTTTTCATTGGGATATCAGTACAGGTAGTAGTACTTATCATTCCTTTGAGTTACGACTCCATTTCTCTTTGGAGGAAATGTTCCCTCTCAACTCAGAACTTTGAAACTCCACCATTTATGACTTTAATTCTCAGGGTGAGGCATATACAATATCCTTGGGATGCAGCAAGTAAATAACCCTCTCAGAGGAGAGAAGAAACTTATATTGGTTTTATAAGCAGTAATGCTTTTTAAAAAAAGAAAAAAGTCACATTACATAGCAAAACTTAAAGAATCCACCTTTGTCCTCTCTGCCAAATGTGTTGTTAAAAATCACATGTCCCCTCCATTAACATCCCTCTTTGCTTCTACCTTGTTATCTCGAATAATTCTTATCATAATGTTATGGGGAGAGTCTCAATGGAAGACACTCTTTTGTCCAAGAAAAAACCTCTCCAGAAACAGTAGTCCAGGCTAGCAGTCATTTGAATTAGTGAGAAATTGGGAGTCATTCTATCCTCCACATTGCCAGTTATACAGCTGGCAATATGTAATGTAAGAACTACAGGAGCTACTGTAAAAAGGGAATGTATGAGGACAGCACCAGCTTTCCAAGTGTGACTGAGTCTGTAGCTCCAATCTGTACTTACGTTTCTCTGAACATGGGCTGTAATGGTTGGTGTGAATTTGCTAGCTGCATTAAGCATGAACGTGCCAGGGGAGCTACAAGAAAGTGTCAGATTGTTGCATGTTAGGGCCATATACACATCACTGGTGATTCTTTTCTGGATTGAAAAGCTCCCCCCTCATGTGCTACATCTGGACCTTTATGTGCTTTATACAGAGGAAGCACTTCATGGGGAAAGAGAACTAGGCTTGGCATCAGTAAGTATGAAGTCGAATCCTGGTTCCACCTCTTCTGAGCTTAAATACCCTGAACAAGGCATCTGACCTCTCTGAGCAACAGTTTCCTCCTGTACTTGAAAAAAAAAAAGGGCATAATAATATTTCCACTAATTACTTAAAAGGGTTGTTGTGATAAAATCACTCTATAAACCTTCAAAGTATTTTAGAAATGTAACCTAAAATGTGAGTTCTTACATCCTATCAAAACCTATACATTGCAGCAGTTCTTGGATTAAGTCTTGAATTGTACAAATCTGAAAAAACACACTGTCAAATTCCCTTCCTCCAATAGTACTTACCTGCAAGATAACGAATTGTCTCAAGTTTGTTTGACTCCATCAGTGTTTTCAGTGAAGCAATTTCAATGTCAATTTTATTACTGGTCTGTGAAATAATGTTTTTGATATGGGTATCCTGAAAAAAGAAAACACAATTTTTATTAATTCAGTCTCTATACTATTTTAAAACAAATTATGTCATAATCCACACTTAGCTCTTTGACAAAGAAAAAAAAGATTTTTTTTTTTTAAGGTTAACTTACATTAAAAGCATAGCCTGGGGAAAGCTAAGTACTGGGAAAAAAGTCTGAGTAACACTAACGAAGAGAACATTTGATAAATACTGCACAAGACACATATTTAGGAAGTGGCTGCTTTGTACAGTTCAGCATGCTAAGTGCTGGGGGAAATGCCAAGATTAGGTAACAGAGTCCTTCCCCTGCCTCAAGGTACTCTGAGTCAGCAGGTATAATGATACAAATCCTCCACTGGAAGTCATGAAACCTGAGTCTTTTTTCTGCCACTAAGCAGCTGTGTGTCTTCTAATGCCACTGAATGTGTCTCCTAAATGCAAAGCAGTGTGATAGGAGAGAAAAAGATTAAATAAGACATAGTACCTACTCTCATGGAACACAAAACCTAGAACATTTGGACAAATCCCTTCACAGAATCACAGAGTTTAAAAATTCAACTCATACCTGACCAAGAACCTGCTCTATGACATGGCTAACAAGGTTGTCCAGCCTTCTCTGGAAAGCCTCCATTGAGGGAAAATTTACTACCTCCTGCAGCAGCCTATTTCAGTTTGGGGACAGTTCTGACCTGTGAAGAACTTCTGCCTCATTGCTACTTCTGCCTATTAAGCCTATTCCTGCCCTTTGAGGCTACACAGAAGAATATAAAACCTCAAATACTTGAAGACTGCAATCAAGTCTCTCATTCTTTCACCATAAGTCTGTTCTTTTCTTGGTTAAAATCCCTAGTTCTCAATTTGAACCATTTTCTTTTGGAATGTTCTCCAGTCCCCTTGCCAGCCTTGTTCACTAGTCCTGGATGTGCTTCAGATTGTCAATGTCCTCCTAAAAACGTGGCAGCAGGAGCAATACAGCATTCCAGATGTGGTGTGAGCGGGGCAGAATAGAGTAGGAGCAGCACCTCACTCAGCCCTGCACCCTGGCTCTCCAGGAGATGGTCAGCAGACAGCTGATAAGCAAGAGCTGGGATTCAGGAAAGAGATTAGGGCTCCATGCTGATTTCAGAGTTATCTATGTAGAGATGGCCCTTGAACCCTGGAGAGGGGAAGAGATCCTCAAGAAACAAATACTCTAAGGCAAGAGATGGATGATGATTCAGCAAAGGAGAATGAGAAGGAATGATCAGACAAATGGAAAGAGAATCAGAAGAGGTCAATGGTATTAAAAGTTACAGAGACATCAAGGAAAATGAGGAGTGAGAAAAGAACAAAAGACTAGTAGTAGCAATTTCCTTAGTGAAGTAGGAGGCTCAGCCACCTGCTGCAAGGGTGTACACACTGTGGAGCTGAAGGAAAGAGGAGAAAGTTTTTTGCAGACCAGTAGCAACTCTTTGTCATTAAATGCACCAAGAAGCTGGCTGGGAAAAGAGAACTCAGAAGGGCAAATGAGACCTTTCTCCTGATGAGTCACAAGGAAGAGGCAGTCAGGTCTTTCTTGCTGGAGTGAAAATGAAAAGGTAAAAGAAAAAAGTGTAAAAAATACCTGAATAATAGCCTAAAAGGGTAAAAATACCAAAATACTGGAGGCATGAATACTGTCAAGGGCTTTTGTTTCTTAAGGTTCAGGGTGAGTTCAAATGTACTCCAATCAAAGAAAGACGAAAAGGACCCATATGTACAAAAGTATTCATAGCAGCTGTCTTTGTGGTGGCAAAGAATTGGAAAGTGAAGGATGCCCATCAATTGGGGAATGGCTAAATCAACCAACCAACCAATCAAGAAACATTCATTAAGCACCTACTCTGTGCCAAGCACTGTGCTAAGTGCTGGAGGTACAAAATGAGGCAAAAGAGAGTCCCTGCCCTCAATGAGCTTACAGTCTAACGGGAGAGACAACATACAAACAAATATACACAAAGCAAGCTATATATAGGATAAATAGGAAATAATAAGGGGAAGGCACTGGAATTAAGAGGGATTGTAGAAGGTGGAATTTTAGTTAGGATGTAAAGGAAGCCATGGAGGTGAATAGTCACAGCAGAGGAGGGAGAGTGTTCCAGACGTGGAGGACAGCCAGAGAAAATGCCTGGAACTGAGAGATGGAGGGTCTTGTTTGCAGAAAAACCAGGAGGCCTTTGTCACTGGACTGAAGAATTCGTGTTGGGTATAAAGTGAATGAAGACTGGAAAGGTAGGAGAGGCCTAGGTTATAAAGGGCTCTGAATGCTAAACAGAGTATTTTGTATTTTCTCCTGGAAGTAATAGGAAGTCACTGGAGTTTACTGAGTAGGAGGTGACATGATTGGACCTGTGCCCTTTGTAAAATCACTTTAGTGGCTGAATGGAGGATAGACTGGAGTGGGGAAAGACTTGAGGCAGGCAGACCCACCAGTGGCCTATTGGAATAGTCCAGGCACAGGGTAACGAGGGCCTGCACCAGAATGATGGCAGTGTCAGAGGAGAGAAGGGGACATATTGGAGAGATGTTGCAACAGTGAAATCAATAGATCTTGGTGACAGTTTGGAGTAGGGGTTTGAGAGACAGTGAGAAATCCAGGATGACTCCTGGGTTTTAAGCCTGAGGAACTGGGAGGATGATGTTGCCCTTTGCAGTAATAAGGATGGTAGTGGGGAGGGAGGATTTAGGGGGAAAGATAATGAATTCCATTTTGGACATAATGAGTTTAAGATGTCTACTGGACATTCAGTTTGAGAGTTCTGAAAGGCAGGTGGATACGTGAGATTGGAGATCAGCAAAGAGACTGGGGCAGGACAAGTAGATTTGAGAATCATCAGCATAAAGATGGAGTTAAATCCATGGGAATTAATACGATTACCAAGTGAAGTAGTCTAATTTTTTTTTTTTAATTTTTAGGCAGTTGGGGTTAAGTGACTTGCCCAGGGTCACATAGCTAGTAAGTGTCAAGTGTTTGGTCTGAAGACGGGTTTGAACTCAGGTCCTTCTGACTTCAGGGCCAGTGCTCTATCCACTGTGCCACCTAGCTGTCCCCCCAAGTGAAGTAGTCTAGAGGAAGAAATGAAGGCCCAGGAGAGAACCCTGAGGGACACCTATGGTTAGAGGAAATGATCTTGAGAAGGATCCAGCAAAAGAGACAGAGAAAGAGAGGTCTGATAGGTAGGATGAAAACCAGGAGAGAATGGTGTTCATAAAACCTACAGAAAAGTGAATATTCAAGGTATACAGAGAGGACATGGAGAATGAGGACTGAGGAAGGGCCACTGAACTTGACAACTAAGAGATCATTAGTGACTTTGGAGAAAGCAGTTTCAGTGTAATGGTAAGGTTATAAGCCAAATTGTAAGGGGGAGAGGGAAAGAGTAGGAGAGAGGGGGAGAGAGGGAGAGGGAGGAAGAGGGAGGGAAAGGAAGAGAAGAAGAGAGAGAGGGAGGGAAAGGGAGAGAGAGAGAGGTGAGAAGGTAGAGGCACCTATTGTAGAAGGTCTTTTTGAGAAGTTTAGGTATAAAGGGCAGAATAGATAAAGGACAATAGTGTTGATGGAAGGATCGAGTGAGGTTTTTTTGTGTTGTTTTGTTTTTAGGATGGGAGAGACATGGGCATGTTTGTAGGCAGTAGGATATGAGCCAGTAGACAGGGAGAGATTGAAAATCACTGAAAGTGTGGAGATGAGAGATGGGGCAATCTGGTGGAAGAGACTGGATGGAAGGGGACCACTTGAACAAGCAGCTTTAGTAACGAGTGAGTCCACTTTATCATGTGAGACAGTAGTAAAGAAGACAGTGGCAGAGAAGGTACCTTAGTGATTGATGAGGAAGAGGAGAAACGAGAGAGTTCAGGTCAGTGGCTTCAATGTCTTTTTTTTTTTTTTTCAGTAAGATATGAGGCAAGGTTCTCAGGCAGGGGGAGCCATGCAAAGTTTGAGGAGGGATCAAAAGTTTTGGAAGAGCTGTTGTGGACAGTGGGATAGTGAATTAATAAGGGAGATATACTTGGACTGCCTAGCAGCAGTGAGGGCCCAGGTGAGGTTGTGTGACATAAATTTGTAGAGGACCCAATCAGAACTGTTGTATAATTTTCTCCACCTTTGTTCTGCATGTGTAGGAGCAAAGGAAATAAATAGCGGGAGTAATTCAAGGCTGAAGCTTGGCTAGGCTTAATGGACAATATAAGTGGGTGAGAGATTTAAGAAAGGAGGAAAATGTAGAGTTGAATGGGTTTGCCAAGGAGTCAGGATGGGGAGAAGACAGTGGCAAGCACATGGGAGTTGGCTTGGGAGAGAAATGATAGGTCAAAAGATTAGAGGTCACAGTGAGGATGAAGAGTAGGGTTATATAAGGGAAGGCAAAGGAGAGGTGAAAAGCCAATATATTATGATTGGATAAGATTGTAGATTGAAGCATATTTCTTCTACTTCTTTTTCTTACTTTTTTCCCTGAGAACATGGCTAATATGGAAATTTGTTTTGAATGACTATGCATATTTGTAATGAGTTTCATTTTTCTAGCCTTCTCAACACAGTGGAGAGTGGAGGAGGGGAGGGAGAGAATTTGAAACTAAAAATAAAGTTTAAAAAGCAACAACAAATGCTGTACTCAAGCCTTGTAGTAAAACTTAAAGTAGCAATAAGTTGCAAGGTAAGTAGCAAAAAATAAAAAGCAGTTTCTAGAGTGTTAAGCCTTATAAATCCTAACCCCAGACGAGAACAACAAATAGTTAATGGATCCAAGAAAGCTTTACTCATAATTAATAAAGAAACATATCCTAACTTACTTTTTTGTTAAATTCAGTGGTTGCTTCCATAAGTTTCTTTTCTTGATCTGTAAACTGAAAATTTTAAGGCAGAAAGTGATTAAAAACTGAATAAATGAAAAAGAACAAATAACTAAGAAAGAAATCTTTTTTTCTTTGTACCTTTTTCTTTTTTTATTTTTATATTAATTTATTTTGATTTATCAATAATCACTTCCATATGCTTTTGAGTTTAAAATTTTTCTCCCCATTCCTCCCCACCACCCTCCCCAAGACGACACACAATGTAATATAGGCTATATATTTACATTCATATTAAACATATTTTCACATTAGTGATGTTGTAAGTAAAAATTAAAACCAATAGGAGGAACCATCAGAAAGAGGAAACAAAACTCAACAGAAGAGAAAAAAAAATAGCAATTCAACTTCCATAGTTCTTTCTTTGGATGTGGACAGCATTTTCCATCATAAGGCCTCTGGAGATGTCTTAGAACCTTGTATTGCCAGAAAGGGTTAAGTTTATCAATATTAGTCATCACACAATGTGGCTGTTATTGTGTACAACGTTCTCTTGGTTCTGCTCACTTCACTCAGTATCAGACAAACAAGTCTTTCCAGATTTTTGTGAAATCAGCCTGTTCATCATTGCTTATAGCACAATAGTATTTCATTACATTCATATACCACAACTTGCTCAGCCATTCCCCAACTGATGGGCATCCTCTCAATTTCCAATTCTTTGCCACCACAAAAAGAGCTGCTATGAATATTTTTGTACAGGTGGGTCCTTTTCCCATTTGTATGATCTCTTTGGGATATAGCCCTAGAAGTGCTATTGCTGGGTCAAAGGGTATGTACATTTTTATAGCCCTTTGGGCATAGTTCCAAATTGCTCTCCAAAATGGCTGGATCATTTCACAACTCCACCAACAATGCATTAGTGTTCTAATTTTCCCACATCTTCTCCAACATTTATCATTTTCCTGTTTTGTCATGTTGGCCAATTTGATAGGTGTGATGTGGTACCTCAGAGATGTTCTGATTTGCATTTCTCTAATCAATAGTGATTTAGAGCGTTTTTTCATATGACTATAGATGGCTTTAATTTCTTCATCTGAGAACTGTCTGTTCATATCCTTTGACCATTTATCAATTGGGGAATGGCTTGTTTTCTTATAAATTTGACTTAATTCTCTACATATTTTAGAAATGAGGCCCTTATCAAACACATTGGTTGTAAAAATTCTTGAAAGAAATCGTAAATGAATATTACCAGATCTGTCACTCTGCTCCTCTCCAGGTTTATATCCAGTTTATTATTTGCTCTGCTTCGAGTAGTTTCCAGCTATAAAAAAAAAGAAAAGTATATTTTGAAATGACATCTTGCTCTTTGTGGAATTTAGAATTTGTCCTCATATGGAAAAAAGAAAATGCTTTACTTACTATTAGTTGTTGTTTAATTTGGTCTAATTCAATTTTCATTTTCTAGGTATAAAAGGGACCACTGAACATTAGTAATAATCAAAAGACCATCTTCCAACTGACCTAGAAATTCTGAAACATAAGATTACTAAAAATTTGTACAATCTGTGGATTTCTACAATAGATTTATTCCATATAAAACAGAAACCACAGAAATTTATGAAGATATCTCATTCTTAGACCTTCAAATTAGATTTACCTCAAAAATAAGATTTACATCTCTTTAAATTACTGTGACTTTTCTTTTAAATGAGAAAGAATCTGTATTACCTTTTATTTGAAATGAAATTCTCAAGCTGGTAAGTAAAAGAAATCCTTTCTCTTTTACAGTGTCAGAGAAAATTAATGGAAAACTAAAATGTCTCGTTATGCATAAAATTCAAATGAATTTGAAACAGGATCTTGATGAGGTTTTTTTTTTTGGTATTGGTTAAGTAAAAAATGTACACAGCGCAGGAGAAACTTCATTAATTGCAACTATAGATGTACCTATGAATGTGTGTATGTATGTATTTCTCCGAACAACTATGATTTAAACATAAAGGTCCAGGTGTTGTTATGGAATGTTCTTATAAAAAAATTTAATAATTGTGAAGTATCAAATATAATTTTGCCATCTGTCTTGTCAAAATATTTTAAAACAGCAAATTTTGTGATATAATGTATTCATTATTTAAAAGTTTATATTACCTCATTCTCTGCTCTCAGATTTGCAAATTCACTTTTCTCTAGGATGACCATATCTTTCCGGATCGAATCCAAATGTGCCATTATTTGCTGAACAGTAATTTCCTAAGATATAATACAGTATTTAAACACTGAATTAAGAAATGGTAGACCTTACAGTATTCATGGAAATTAAGACAATGGATAATTAAGATAACATATAATAAAGTCACAATGTTTTTTTGGTAGTCTGAAGAACAGTAATAAATAGGAAAATTGTTGTATATTTGGGGAATAAATGCCAAAGTATGTTAGAATATCTCCCAGGAACTGAGAAAAAATGGCTAGGTTTTATGAGAGAAAAATTTTGAAAATCACTTCCTTAGCTTTAAATACAATTCTATCATAGAAGAGAAAAACAATAAAAGTAAAGATCACTGGACTTGGATTCAGAAGTCCTGGATATGAATCCTGATTCAGATATTTACTAGCTGACCATACACAAGTCACAAATTCTCTGAGTCTCCTTATCAATAAAATAAGGATAGGAATACTTGTATGGCCTACTTTCCACAGGGTTGTGAAGTTAAGCACTTTGTTAAGCTTAAAGCACTACAGAAATATGAGTAATTATGTAATAGGAAATCCCAAGGTGCTACATGGGCATCAGAAGCTGGTTATTAAACAAAATTGGTTGGAATGTGTTTGCCTAATCACCCTGGGCATTATTTCAGTAGGATAATTTATGGGTCATTTGTTAGGCATCCTTATACTATGCTTTGTATTGGAGAGAACATATTTTAAAAGGTGGTTCCAAATCCACTTTCAAGGAAGTCACATGGCATTTATAAGGTTTCACCTAGCTAGAGATAGCACTTACAAAGAGTAGTAGAAAAAATAATAGTTTAAAATATAAAAGTGGCATAAAGAAGCTTTGCTAATAAAAACATGACCATTCTCCTACTACTCAACTTTCTTAAAATTCAGCAGTCTGGTAGCCTATTACAAAAACACACTCATTTTTCTCAATCAAAAGAAAAGCAGGTGGTGACATAACTTTGAAAAGAGACAGCTAGAGGAGGATTCTATTAAGTATTATTATTGTTAAGCATTGTGAAGGAATGTTAAGAATATTCTTACATATCCTCAGTATAAAGGAACTGTCTGTCATTCATTCAACAAACAGAGAGGAAAGCAACTATCAGCAGCCCTAATCCTTTAGGAAAAGGCTGTGGTCACTGTTTAAAGTCAGGAAAGTAATATTTGATGGCTGCTTTGTTAGGCACAGGGACTAAGCAATCCTAACGGAACTACTTCAAACATGCCACAGCTCATGAGAGCTAGGCTTATGCAACAGTTCCAGAGAGTAATCATAAAACGTCTCTGACAGTTCTGGATTTGGACTGCTCATCTTACTCCTTCCTCTACTTTTTTTTTTTTTTAAGGCAGTTGGGGTTAAGTGACTTGCCCAGGGTCACACAGCTAGTATGTGTCAAGTGTTTGGTCTGAGGCCGGATTTGAACTCAGGTACTCCTGACTTCAGGGTCAGTGCTCTATCCACTGCGCCACCCAGCTGCCCTCTTCCTCTACTTCTGATCTATATGCTTATGGGGGAGGGAGAGAAGGGAGAAAAGGTACAACTTTTTGGAACTAAACCACTTGAAAGATTCAAATTGTGCCTAGCACAACTACCATTAAACCCCAGAAGCAGCATCCTCTTAGTATAGAATAGTGTCTTCTGCACATAGAAGGTTAAGGGAATTTTCATTCATTTAACAACATTTGAGTGTCCCCTGTGCATGAGCTCTTTATGTAGTTGTTTTAAGTCCCTGTTGATGTTGTAAGGAAGTTTCTAGAAGACAGCAATAGCTCGTCAAAGTTCCTCCAAAACTTCTCAGCACTGTAGGGAGCTAAGTTTCCTCTACAATGATTATTATTAATGATGATGATGATTTTCTCAATTGATTTCAGACTCTCATAGCTGGAAAGGCCCTCAGAGATTATAGTTGAACCAGAATCTCCTCAACAATATGAGACACATGGCCACACCACCTTTTCCTGAAGAAAGATCTGTAGTGGGGGAGAGCATACTTCCCACAGAGGCAGCCAGCCCATTCTACTTCTGGGGCACTCTGTTAGTAAATGTTTATTCTATCAGACCTCAGTCTACCTTTTTGTGGCTTCTACCCACGACTCCTCCCAGTTCTGGTCTCTGAGCCAAGCATCACCACTCTAAGCCCTTTCCCATTTTAATTTCCCATTTTAATCTTTGAAGATAGATCTCATGACTCTCCTGAGCTTCCCTCTCCTCTCCCAGGCAAACTACCTCAGTTCCTTATTGATCCTGATGACATCTCTGTGAGACAGGTACTATCAGTGTTCCCTTCATTCTCCAGGTGAGTAAACTGAGGTTTAGAGGTGGGGACATGCCCATAATCACACAGGTCATGTCTGAGGGAGGAGTCAGACCTTCATGTCTTTCTTATTCTAAGGTCAGTACTATTCCCATTATATCACATTTCCTCATGCAGTGGAAAATTGTGGAAATTTGTTATAACTAAAATAATACATTTATAAATTCAAAAGCAACTTAAATCCAGGGTTTGAAGGCTTTCAATTCTGAGTCTCTTTAGCCAGAAAAGCAAAATGAAAACTTCCCAAAGCAGGGTACTCTTATGGTCCATTAAAGTACTGAAATGTCACTTAGTTTGAAACTGCATGCTATAGAGGCATCTAGGTGGCGCAGCAGACACAGCACAGGCCCTGAAGTCAGGAGGATATGAGTTCAAATTCAGTCTCAGGCACTTAACACTTACTAGCTGTTTGATCCTGGCCAAGTCACTTAACCCTGATTGCCTTGCCAAAAAAAGAAAAAAAGAGAGAGAGAGAAACTGCATGCTATAGCATAAAACTTCACTTGGATTAATGCTCTGAGGAGGTAAGAATTAATTTTAAAATGACCTTTGAAATATAACTATAAGTGAAGATAGATTCTATTATTGAGTCAGAACAAATCGTGCCATAGATGACATCATCAGTTAGCTAATCAACCTGTATAAAATTTACTGCTACTGGGTCAAGTGCCTATTTTAATTTGGATATATCAATGGGCATTTGTTATGATGAATACTTATAAAGCAATTAAATCAGATATGTATGCTATTTACCTTAACTTAGCCTCTAGACATTTGAACTAGATGATATCTAAGTTTCCTTCCAGCTCTAAAATTCTATGAAAAGCAGGTAGAAAGATTTAACTGATGGGAAACATGTACAGGGAAAGATCTCTTAAAATATGAAAGACTTCCTGGGTAGAGAGATTAGCTGTGTGATCTTTAAAAGAACAAAAAAGTGAAGTGATCATTTACTAAGTGCCCTCCTCTATTCAGCAAGCCATTCCTTCTAACTAAGAATCAAAGAGAGAAAAAAAGGCAGTTGAACAAATCAACTAAAATATTAACCAAGTCCAACCTCTAGTCTACCACTTTTTATAAGAACTGCAAGGAAGTAGATTTTCTCACCCCTTTTTGGGGGCTAGACTTGGTCATTGTAATTACAGCAGTTAAGTGATATTAAGCAAGCCATTTAACCTCTTTGGGCCTTTACTGTTGACAAATATAAAATGGGGGTGCTGTAGGGGTTCAGTATTATATGATTTGCAAAATCTCTTTCAATTCAAATTATAATTTTGTCCCCAGACAAATTTCTATATGTCATCTGAACCACTTCTGAAATTGAAGAACCACTGAAAATCTATAGGTCTGTTTTACTGCCTTAACCACTTGGATGAATGATTTGCATTTTCCAGGAAGAAAAAGTACCTGAGGCCTTATAGGAAAGACCCAAAAACAAGCAGATGTGATCCGTTTTTTTTTTTTTTTTTTTAAACTTAACATATTATAAATAATACATAACCAATTACCTGTTGAGCTCGAGTGACCATCTCCTTATAGATTGTGTCCAGGCTGACATTTGACAGAATTATTAATGCTAATACAATGGTTTCTGCTTGGGCTTTTTCAAATCCTGTAGGCAGAGAATAGGCATTAGTTTTTTTTTTTAAAGCTATCAATCCCTATCAGAATAGAACTTTATAAAAATACAATACTATACTATACTATAACTTTCAGCAGCTTGTGACACTCTAAATTGTAATTAATGTGATGAGATAAATAAAACAATAATACTATTTCACTTTTGAAGGATGTATTCAATAATTGGTTTCTCACCATGACTTTCCAAGTCCTGAACCACTGAATGGGTATCAAAAGTCAACTTTCTTTGTTCTAAAGGAGTTATGTCTACCCTCCTCATGTCATAATTTTTCTTGGATCTGGTGGTCAGCAAACCTGAAAGAGAAAGTGAGGGTCAGACTTTTTCTTATGAAACTGATTTATCAAATGTCAAAAAGTAATTTAGAGGCTTGTCTTTCACTTTTTAACCTGATAATTTTTTGTTGAAAGTCAAGATGTTTGTTATTTTTACCTGTGCTGCTATGTTATATCCAAAGAACAGTGAAAGACTGTGAGAGAGATAAAGTACATAGAGTTGGCCTCAGAACCAGGCAGACCTAGGTTTAAATTCCATCTCTTGACACATAATGGCTGTTGGAGCCTGGCCAAGTCAGTGCTCTAGGTAGCTCTCTAAGGTTCTATGTTGAGGAGCAGGTAATGATCTCTACTGGTAGAGAGAATTCCCTCATCTGAGAGTACCCTGTATCAAAGAAATCAGAGGTGCAGTCTGTTTTACTATCCCTATTCAATGAAATCAAATCTATTTTGACCTATTTAGCCAAATTATTGATGGCAAAAAATGACATATGGATAGAAGTGCAGATATCAACTAAAATAATTTTATCTGTAAGTTTAATGTAAATCACTTGCCCTAACAAGGAAGAAAAGACGCTACAGTGGCTTACTGAACAAAAACTTGACTTGCCAACAGAAGAGCTATGGAAGCTAAAGGCAATACCACTTTAGAATAGAAACTTGTTGGTAAAATGATGAAAAAGAATTTAGAAGATTATAAGCACTATCATCTACCAAAACAGAGAGAGGCAGTGGAGGGTGAAGTCAGTTTAAAGAAAACTGGAGAGAGAGAACTAAGCAATGTCAATCTGAGGGCACTGAAGGATGAAAATGGAATGTTGGATGGCAAACAGAAGAAAAATGGATAAAATCTGCAAAGATTTTTAACAACTTATTTCAGCTGAAAGAAAGAAAGCAGAGCTGCAACACTTAAGACTCAAACATTACTATCCTAAATATGCTTAGATTGGAGACAGAAACTAAAGAGAACAGATAGGAAAATCAGCTAGTTTAGACCACATCTTTATTATCACATGATTGACTAAAGAACACAAAATCTCACTATACTTAACATTTGCTGATTATTAAAAAAAAACATTGAATTTAGAGGGCAAACCAATGCCTTAAAAGAATTTTCCAAGTATACATCAAAATTATTCAAGATTCCTTTTTTCAAAATATTATGTTTCATTTTATGTTGTGTATTGTCTCCCTCCTTCTCCACCCTACACTAGAAGTCACCCTACATTACACCCTATACTACAACCTACACTATTTAAGAAGTGCTGATGCGTGTGTGCGCGCACGCATACACACACACACACACATATATATGGTGTGTGTGTGTCAATATATGTGGTACCATCCTATGTATACTCCTATTTATCAGTTCTTTCTCTGGAAATGTATAGCATTTTCCTTCAGCGTTCCATTATAGTACTTACAGAGTATGTACAGAGTATTTATAATGCTCAAAATAAATTAGTTTTTCAGTTATTCTTGGAACAATAATGCTGTTACCATATAAAATGTTCTCTTAGGTCTGCTCATTTCATTCCTTATTTCATCCAAGTCTTTCCATGTTTTTCTAAAGTCTACCTGCTGATCATCTCTTACAGCAGAGTGGTATTCCATTACAATCATATGCCACAATTCCATCACAATCTGCTGGAATCCAGATTCCATTTTTCTATCAGTTGGTCAAATATGCACATGACACAAAGAGAAATAGGGAATTCACTGGATGAGAGGATTCAAAAAATCAAAGCTAACATTATAGACTGATGAGAATAAGATGATATTTAACAGGGATAAATAAATTAATAGCATTAAAATCAACTTCACTACTATGGGACTTAGGACATGTTGCTAAAGAACAGTTCATGTAAAAGAGGTCTGAGGGTCCTGCTGGTTGGTCTCCCTATTTTCAGTCTCAGCTATCAAACCGATCTTCCTCAAACTGATCACTCAGGTCTGACCATATCATCCTTCTTCCCCTTCAGTAAACTTTAGTGGCTTCCTATTGCCCCCAGGATCAAATATAAAATCCTGCTTGGCTTTCAAAGCCTTTCATAACCTGCCCCTTCTCAGCTTTCTAGTCTTCTTACCCCTGAATTCCTCCAGGATACTCTGTGGTACAGTGACACTAGACTCCTTGCTGTTCCTTGAATATGACATTCCATCTCTCAACACGTTTTCACTGGCTCCTCTCCTCCCCAAGCCTCCATTACCAGAATGTTTTCCTGCCTCATCTCCACCTCCCCATTTCCCTGGCTTTCTTCAAGTCTCAGCTAAAGCCCACCTTCTGCAAAAAGCCTTTCCCAGTGTTCAATCTTAATGCCTTCCTTCTGAGACTGTCCTGCATAAATCTTGTTGGTACAGAGTTGTTTGCTGTTTTCCCATTAGACTCTAAGCTCCTTGAGAGAAGAGACTTTTATCTTTTTTTGTATCCCCAGTGCTAAGCACAGTGCCTAGCATAAAGTAGGCACTTAATAAATGTTTGTTGACTGCAAGATCAGTATGTCACCAGTTTGACAGAGATGCCAAAATGTCTAATGCAATTTAGGCTATGTTCCTAGACATGATGTACAACTTGAGGGAGGTGACTGTCTCAGTGTACCCTGCTCTTTTTAGTTTTCATAGGAAGTTATCATGTTTACTTTTAGGTGCCACATCTTAGTTGTTGACAAACTGGAGCATATGAAAGGAAAGGAGTTCAGGATTATAAGAGGATCAAAGATCACACCATATAAACATAAATCAAAGGAACTTTGGGCATGGTTAGGCTAGAGAAGCCTTAGGGGTAATCTAAATAAGTCTTCAGGTAATTGAAGGGCTGTGATCCATAAGAAGGATTACACGTGTTCACCTTGTCCCCAGACAGAAGATAAAAGTAGAAATTAACAGGTAGAAAAAGTTACATTTTGGCTCACAACACATTATCTAATCATTAGAGTGGAACAAAAGTGTAAATGACTTCCACAGAATGAGGTTTCTTTATCAACGGGCACCTTCAAATAAACCTAAAAAAACCCTTTTTTTAAAAAAATTTTTTTTCCCTTTCCTGGTTTCTTCTCCTTGTAAACTTTACCGACCCCCCACATACTTGCCTAAAGTTCAAGCTTTAGTGTTATAATTTTAATTATATAATTATAATATAAATTATACATATATAATATAAAAACAATACAAATATATAAATATAATATAAATGTAATCCTTTTCCTTTATAGGGTGGCTTTAGTGAGGAAGACCTCAGTTTAAATCTGAACTCATACATTTACTAGCTGAGTGACCCAGGGCAAGTCATTTATCCCTCTTTTCCTCAGTTTCCTCTCCACAGACTCCTGACTTTTCCAGACAGGTGCTTAACCAGTCAAGGCTGGCTGTCTTTAAATAACTGTACTCTTTAATATTTCAAATGATTTGTGATCAACCTGTCCTTCAGAGACCTTAGAATTGAATTAATTGAATTCATATATTTCGTTTCAACATTTTAAAAGTCAATTTTCCAAAACTGTGAGGATGAGAGCCAAGTAATGGTCAAAATTATTGGATATTTTAGAGTAAACTCCCAAGTAAATACGTCTACTTATTTCTTTTTTTTTTTTCAGCCAAGGACAAGTTTTATTAAGGATTCGCCATATTGGCCAGACTCTTAAGGAATCTGAACATTTGTGATGCTTGTGTTGACAAACAGGCTAGAGTCAATCTCAGCCATTGGCTAGATTTTAAGCATATGAGCTAAAAAAAATCTTTTAAAAAATGGATAACAATTTGTTGATTATTTTTGTAGAGGAGACTCCTGTTTTGGTAGACATTGAAATACAGAATCTCTGAGGTCAAGACAACGTTATATTGTATAAATGCTAGGTTGGTGTCTCCTTGCAATTTGAGACCATGTTCTTTTCAAATGAATCTACCTTTTGTTATTTTTGCACAGCATATGATCTGCTTACCAATGTTTTTCATATCCAAATCTTCATTTAGCCCTGAGTTCCATCCTCATCTCCCAACAATAATAAAATACTCGAGGACAGGGGCTATCTTTTTTATGCCATGCATGTAAATCTGGTGAAGTCATGAACTCCTCAGAAAAACATTTTAAATGCAGGAAGTACAGAAGATAAATACTTTTAAAAAGCTCATGCATACTAAGTTAAGAACTTCTGTTCTAGGAATAGTTTTTCTTTTCAATTATACAGGTTGTATTTTCATCAGCAGAATATAAGCTCAAGAGCAAGTACTGTTTTGTCTTTGTCTTCCCACTTATCAAGACTGTAAAAAATGTTGAAGAGAATACTTCTCTCCCTTCAAAGTTTTTATAAACTTAGCATTTAAGATCCTTCACAGTGTGGCCCAAACCTACCTTTCCCCAACTTTGTTCTAGCCAAATTTACCTACTTTTGTGCTTGTCCACCACTTCTACACTTTGGTTCATGCTACTTCTCCCTGCTAGGATGGCCTCCGCTTGTCTTTCTATCCATATCTTCCTCCCCCTCTAAAATCCAGCTAAAATGTTTCTGCCTTCATAAAGGTTTTTCCTCATAACTGAATGTGATAATAATTAATTGTTGTTCCATTTGTATAGCTCATTTCCGCCTTCATAAAGGTTTTTCCTCATAACTGAATGTGATGATAATTATTAATTGTTGTTCCATTTGTATAGCTCATTAAGTTTGCAAATAGCTTTGTATGCCATACTGCCTGATCCTCATTACAACGGTGAGAAGGGCTATTCTCCCCATTTTGCAGAGACCTAAGCTCTGTTATCTTGTTTTCTCAGGGTCGCAATGCACTGTATTAGATAAGATTTGAACTCAGGTATTCTTGACGTCAAATTCAGCAGTCTATCTGCTCTATCTTGTTGCCTTCATTTCACTGACTACTGGTACCCCAAAGATCCCTCAGTCAGTCAAATTACTTATTCATCTCTGCCGGATGAACACACCCACCTGGCAACATTAGGCTGTTTCTGCCTGTCACTGTGGATATGTACAGTATTATATTTATCTCAGAACTGGAAAAGAACCTCAGATGTCATCTGGTCTAACCTGTAACTGAACCGAAATCCTCAGGTCAAGTCACCAAGAATTTAAGTGCTCAGAAGGTGCCAGGCAAGATGCTAAGTGCTGGGGATACAAAGAAAGAAAAAACCCAACCCCCAAACTAATCTAACCAGAAAACCCCCCAAACAAACAAAACCCCCAGCTCTCTAGGAGGTCCCAGCTGAATGGACCCACTTGGGTCCAGACTTAGCTTTGCCAAGGTGGAGCTCACGGCCCGCCCCAGGGCTGGAGATCGCCACCTGCTAAGCTAGTTTTCCCTTACGTCGAGCACAACTTCAGCTCTGGGGACCCGCGGGTCACTCGGCGATGGTAACTAGTATCCCCCCTGGGTTGGGGGCTCGCCGGAGATGACGCGGGGGATGGAGAGGTGCAGAGCACTCTCAAACGGGGGTGGGGAAGGGTGCGCGGCGGATGGAGGACAGCAGCCGATGAGGTTCAAGAAGGTGGGCGCCCCAGGGAGGGAGAGGGTGGCGGGATGGCGCGCGTGCACGGCTTCCCGTCACCCGTAACGGGCTCAGTAGCCTCGGTCTAACCAAATGAGGGGAGCTGGAAAGGACGGGAAGGCTCCTCTCACCTCTCCACTGGGCCAATGGGCCGCCTGCTACACCGACCGGCCTCCCGTGAAGGGAGAGAGCCCCCGACAGTCTCCCGCTTCCGCCGGGGCGAAGAACCCGCAAAGGCCAAAGGGCCCTCATGTTTTCCAAGACACCTAGCTTCAGGCAGGAGGGGAGCTGGCCGGGAAGGCTAGTTCGGTCACGCAAGGGTTTCTGGGAAGAGTAGGCTCATTAGCCGCATAGCCTTCTGGGAAATGTAGTCTCCGATCTGTTAAAACCAACCACTGGAAATGTGGTTTGGCAGCTACCTGAGCCCCAGTGAAATTTGCCCGTTTTATGTAAGGTCCTTTCATGGACTGAAGCACCTGCCCCTTTTTCCCCCCCGCCCTTCCCATTCCCGCTTTCCCGACATGTTGGTGCTGGCAGCCGCCCCTAGGCAACAGGAATCTTCCTTGAGGGAAGATCTGCCCCTTAGGGCAGTTTCTTGGCAATGGTCTTTAGTGTAGATACTCTTCCTCTTCGTGGCGCAGAAGGGCCTCTGGGAAACGTAGTTCTTGCTTGGTCGTGGTGCATCTCGGGAGCTGGAACCCCTGTTCCTCCCCTCCTATGGGAAATGTAGTCCGGGAGAACCGAAGATTGTTTCCGCTTGAGGGGCGTTGTGCTCCTGCCGCCTCCTGCCGTCGTGGAGGCCAAGCTCTAGGATCCCGCGGAAACGTTCGTGGGTGCAGTAGAGACCTGCGCCTAAAGTCAGAAAGGCACGAATTCAAATTCGACCTTAAACACTGGCAAGTTGTGTGACCCTGAGGATGTCACTTAACCTTTGTTTGCTTCAGTTTCCTCATCTGTAAAATGGGGATGATAATAACAACACTTACCTCCCGGAGTTGTGGTGAGAATCAAATGAAACAGTGTTTATAAAGTACCTGACATATATAAATATGTCAAATGAGATAATGATTTAAAAGTACCTGAGCTTAATGAATGCTTATTTCATCAAAAGTTTTGGGACATCTTGGATTTCATAGAATGGAAGAAGCTTCTCCATCCTATAAGAGAACAAACATCTCCCCTCACATGTCTGTAACAAGTGACCACCCAGGTTTTTGGTGACGACCCCCAGAATGGGGGACCCTACTATCTGTCTTCCTTAACAGCCCATTCCCTCCAGGACAGCTCTCAGGAGGAAGTTTTTCCTTTTTTCTATGCCCCAATTTGCCTTTTTTGCTCTTCCCTCCTGTTGTTCCTTGTTATGCCTTCAAGGCCAACCTGTCTTCTAGGTGCTTGGCCTTTCAAAGACTTGGAAAGAAGTCCTTGCCCCTAGTCTTCTCCAAGTTCACCATCCTCAATTCCTTGGACTGACTTTAATCTGGCGTCATCTTGAGGTCCCTCACCATCCTGGTGGTCCTACCCTGGACACCCTCCATCTATCTTCTGTTTGGTTCCTAAAATGTGGTGCCCAGCATGAAAAAACGCCTGACGATGGGGAGGATTGCTATACCACAAGGGCAGTCATGATAATTGCCAGCTTTTATATGGTTCTTTAAAGTTTGCAAAGCACTCTACACATATTACAGTTTATCGAATAACAACCCTGAGAGCCTAGGTACTAATATTATGCCCTCTTTATAGATAAGGAAATTGAGGCAGACAAAAATTAAGTGACTTATTTAGGGTCAGACAACTAGTAAGTGTCCGAAGTCACATTTGAACTCAGCTCTTTCCTCAGTAGTGCTGTGGCTAGAGCTGGAGGCTTGTAGTCAGGAAGTTCTGAGTTTAAATGTGACCTCAGACACTTACTAACTGTGTGACTTTGAGCAAATCACTTAACCTTGTTTGCCTCGGTTGCCTCATCCGTAAAATGAACTGGAGAAGGAGGTGGCAAACTGCTCTAGTATCTTGCCAAGAAATCCCCAACTGGGGTTACGAAGAGTTAGACATGACTGAAACAATAACTTCCTAATTCCAGGTTCTGTACTCTACCATCTAGCTGCCTTTCGATCTGAGGATCCAAACAATTAGCTTTACACAGGATTTGACATCTGAAAACAAATGTAGCATGTTTATCCATATACTGCTGTGCTTTTTAATATGTAAATTAAAGTATTTTTATTAAAACAACTAGATATGAACATCAACCAACATTGCATCACTATATCTAAATAGGACAGGCGATTCATGGATAATTTAAATATAGAAACTGCTTCCCTGAAGCTAGTGCTTTATGGCCACAAAGCACTTTTTACATATTTTTGTTTGATTCTTATTGCAAAGCCATGGCATAGGCAGCCCAAATATTATTATGCAAATTTTATAGATGACTCAACCCAGGCCTAGACAGTCTGTGACTTGTCCTAGATCATATACTAAGCAAGCGTTGGCCGGACAGTAGGGCAGGAGGGTGTGGAAGACAGAGAAGACAAATGGGACTGACTCTCAGAATTGGCGGATAACTGAGAGGTCAATAATTTAGTCCTACTGTCAGACCAGTACGTGTATCCCCTCTATAAATGAAAGCCTCTAATGACAGGGAGCTTGCTACCTCATAAAGCAATCCATCTCATGTTTGGACAATCTTCATTGTTAGGAAGTTATTCCTTTTATTGAACTGAAATAGGTTTCTTTATGACTTTCTATCTACCCAATTCCTAATTCTACCCACTGGGGCTGCATACAACAAACCTAGTCCTTCCTCCATGTGACAGTCCTTTCCCATCCCATCCAGCCATCTTTCCTGGGCCTCTTGCCATCTGCCCTAATGCTAACCCTATTCTCCCCATTTGGAAGAAGTACCCTATGGATCAAAATTCTGGCAGGTGATCACGCCCAGCTTCCTGGTGAGTGTGTGTGTGTGTGTGTGTGTGTGTGTGTGTCTACTCTGCTTTGGAACTTTGACTAGAGATTGAACTGATTGGACAGTGAGTGAACCATCCCCTAACACACTATGCCTTCTCACCACAGACCAGTAAGAAATGTAAGAAGGAGGGAGCCAGGTTGGGAAGGGCTTTAAATGTCAAGCAGAGCATTTTATATTTGATTTTGCAGATAATAAGGAATCATTGGAAATAATGGAGTAGGAGGTGATAAGGTCAGACCTGAACTTTAGGAAGATCCCTATGGCAGCTCAGTGGAGGCAGGGAGATCAATTAGAAGACCCATCCATAGTGCAGGAGTGAGACCAGGAGAGTGGAACCAGTAAGTGGCTGTGTAAGAGGAGAGAAGTGGAGGTACACAAGGGATGTGAAGGTAGAAAGGACAATACTTGACAACAGACTGGGGCGAGTGTGAGCGAGGAGCCGAGGATGGTACTGAGGCTGCCAGTCTGCGTGACTGACTAGCACACAGTAGGCACTTTCACTCTTTCATGCAGCTGCCACATTTCCATTCCTAAAGCACAATTCTGACCATATCACTTCCCTCCTAAATAAAATACAAACTCTTTTGTTTGGCATTTAAAGCCTTTCACACTTTGGTTCCAACTTGCCTTTCCAGGCTGATTTCATTTTACACCCCCAGCCTCCAACTCCATGTTCTAGCCATCCTGGCCTACTTGCCTGCTCCCGTAGCTGGATGTGACGTGCCATCTCACCTCTGTGTCTTTGGGTAGGCAGTTCCTCTGACCCAGGATGTGCTTTTCCCTCACCTGGGCTTCTTGGAATCCTTAGCTCTCTCCTAGACTTAGCTCCAGAGTCACACCCTACCCAAAGCCTTTCAAGATTCCCCTTGTTCATGCTCCCTCCCTAATTAATTTGCAATTTATAAGACTTCACCGAGAACTTGTTATTTCCTTTTAGTAGAAGGTAAGTTCCTCGAGGGCTGGTATGATTTCATTGTTGTCTTTGTTTCACCAGCACATAGCACGTTGCCTGGCACACAAGTGGCATCTGATAAGTGCATCGAATTTGATATATCATCCTATGCCTTCAAAGTCTTTTCTTTTCTTTCTTTCTTTTTAGTTTTTTTAAAAAAAAATTTAATGCTTTTTCCAATTACATGTAAAAATCTTTAACATCTGTTTTTTAAAATTTTGAGTTCCAAATTCTCTCCCTCCCTCCCTCTAAAGTCTTCTCTGTTCTATGATCGATGTCTCTATTTTTTGGAAATAATCCCCAGATAACATTGTTTCAAGCCCTCCCACCATCCTGTTCACTTCCCTTTGGATTTACTTCAGCTTGTCTTTGTCCTTCCTATACTATGTAGAACGGTTCCAAAGGATGCTAACACTGGATGTGACTTTACAGTGACCTAGGCTAACTTCCTCTTTTTACCAAAAGGGAAAAGAGTCCCAGAGAGGGGAAATGATTTATTTGCCTGAGGGTACCAAGTATGGAGGCAATGGCAGAGCGGAGTCTCAGAAACTGGTCTCCTGATTCTTAACTCAATGGGCTGGGTATTCCCCCCCCCACTATAAAATATTTCCTCTTGAGGAGGCCTGTGTGCTGAACATTGTGCTAAAGAAAGGTGTAACATGAATAACAGCACAGAACAGTGGAAAGAGAACTATCTTTGGGGTAGAATACCTGGCATTGAATCCTCAATACAAAAACTGTTAGTTGTGTGACCCTGAGCAAATGCTGTAGCATCTCTGAAACTCAGTTTTTTTATCTGCAAAATGGGACAATAATACTTGCTCTCCCCACCTCATAGGGTTATTGAGAAGGCATGTTGTAAACTAAGTCACTAGAAAAAATGTGAATTTTTATTGTTGTAGCTAGTATGAATTTAGTATAATAAGGAGAGGCAGCCTTGTAGAGGGGACAGTGGGTGTGGAATCAGAAAGACCTGAGTACAAATCCTGTCTCTGACACCAACTGTGTCACTGTTGGCATAACTTAAACTCTCTGAGCCTCAGGCAGTTCTCCTAAGACTTACCTACCTAGTTATAGATGGGCTGGGATATGTTAGTCTTTCGCAAACAAAATTATGCCAGGGGTTCTTAACCTGTTTTGTGTCATGGACCCCTTTGGCAGGCAGACTGGTGAAGACTATGGGCCCCTTCTCAGAATCATGGTATATGATAAATGTATAATGTATAATGTATAATGTATAATGTATAAAACAAAATAGGATTATGAAGGAAATCAATTACGGTTATCCCTTCCATGTTGAGAGAGGAGTGTGGTATCCATGCGATCTGGAAAATCTGAGCAAAATTTTTTGGCCCTCCTTCCCTACCAGAGAAGTCTGAATTTTTTCTTTTTCTT